TGTCGCGTGGGCGACGTAAATACTGAGGGGGATGAACGGTGGTCTCCATTAGTGGTCGTGGATACATTGATTTTGGTGGAGGGAACAGCGGTTGAGACATTGCATACCGGTGATAAGGGGGGTGAGGCATTTGAGCATACTTGAGTCTCTGTAATCTTGTTTCGAGTTGGCGCATTAAAGTCGGAATATAATGTAGGTCGTGACTTCCTAAAAAAGGTTGTAATTGAGGGCGTTGTAAGTTATCATTTGTTACCGGATGATTTCCAGTTGGACACAAATAATGTTCGACATGGGAAAAATCACATCTGGATTCTTTCAAACAATAGCCCTTCTTAAGTAGAAAGGGACAAAATATGGAGCCTTATTTATCGTTGGAATGCTGGCGAGCTTGATCATTATTAACCATATTTCGATGAGAAACGTCGCACAATTCAACCTTTAAGCACCAATCACGCCGCAAAATAAACGGACAAGGCGTTTCATTTTTGGGGACTTGCATCACTCTGGTTGGCGGTAAGTTTGCATCGCTCACAGTTGGGACAGGGACATTAACTTCTACATCAAGAGAACTTTTGGGCATTAAGTCTGCATTACTGGCAGGAGGGACAGGAACAACATCACTCACAATTGGGGCAGGGACATTAGCATTGATATTAAGAGAACTTTTTGGCGAACTACAAATTGTCTTACAATTTTCAGATGGTTAATTTTCGTAGGTAGACTGATTATTCGAGTGCGTTGGTAATAGTATTTCGCAATTACTCTTTCCAACATCATTATTGGACCCTTGGAGATTTACTTTCGCAGTGCATTATATCTGGCTATCAAGATCAAGGGAAGCGTTCAATTGAGGATTATCATTAAACAATAGCGTTTCCAAGGTCAAAAGCTTGGACTTAAATACAAATATTTCTTGTTGAAGTGAATTTATTGTCTCGTCTTTTGTTTTAATAATATTTTTAAGGGATTTCTGTGTAGATTGCAATGACTTAATGTTAGATTGCAAAGAATCATATTGATTATCTGTACCAAAACAAGATTGCGACTTAAAGAACGCCAAATCTAGTTTAATACCCTCTATTTCTGCAATAATTTCACCTTGACTACATGTACACGCGCATGCAGACTGTCGAGATCCATTTATTAAACTCGATGTATATTCAGTCTGGCCCTCTTCATTAACCACAAAGGTTACGTTCAGGTCTTGCTCCCGTCGATCAGGACCATCACAATCAACTCTCAGAAATTCTTCACAACACGGCTCTAATCTACGCACATGCCGGTTCACCTCATAAAATAACTGTTGACTCACAGCGATCGATATAGTCTCTTTGTTTACATGTTTGTTTGCAATCGAAATAATTTTTGATTTCGCTGATTCAACGCTCTCAGGATCGCCCTGAAACACTATCGTATTCTGCTTTCTGCAATACCAAACGAAGCCAAACTGCTGATAAAGTTCGACTGATTTGAGCGTAAATTTTTTGGCGTTGCCACCATCTACCGTCGATGCGAAGCGAAGACTTCATAAAAAGTTTTAAGTCCTCCAGAGAGCCCAACCACTTTAATTTTCCCTCGTCAGCGACTAAATACTCCACCATTCTATACGAATCTCTATTTGGGGACGAAAGATAGCCCTCAACAAAGATTTCAATCTTTTTAAGAACTTGACTAACAGCGCTCTCCATCATGTTTGAATATTATGTACTATGGTACAATGTACTACGTACATATGCTGCAGGGGGGGGGGGCATATCATATAATTATGTACTATGGTACTTATGGTAATTATGTACAATGGTACTATGTACTATGTACTTATGCTGCAGGGGGGCATATTCACATAATAACAAGTGCTTGCAATGCAACAGTAATTTGGTTATAACTTCTCTAAATGTCGGATAAATAAGTAAGAACATGTACCATCATGAATATAAATATAGATTGTTATAATCTACAAAGGGCTATGAACGATTAGTTGGCCGAACCTCGCGAAGCTCTAGAAAACGTAATAAAAATAATTTGCAAGTTCGCCCCAGATTGTTTATTCTATAGATCGATCCATAGATCCATCCCATCGATCCATTGATCGGTCACTGAATTGCATTTAACCTCATAACAATAGTGCAAAGCAACTTTGCACTAAAAAGCATGCAGGGTTACTCACCTAAAAGCTTTAGTATGTTACTTTGGGCAATCTTCTAAGATATAACAAAAAGCTCTTATCGCAGAATTTTGACGTCTATACATAGCCAGTCCGCCAGAGCAAAATACCAAATACCCGTCACTCTGTAGAAAGCCGCCATCTTTGTTTTGTTTTACGGTCTGTTCGCAGGCGTACAGCCCTAATTAGTCCATCTGAGTGTTTAGCGCACCCACGCACAACTCGATAGCATAGTATCTAGCGCTCCGCGCAGATACAAAAATAGTCAATTGTCTATATACAATATACTACAATATACAGCTGAGAACGAACTAAATTGCAAAATTCGTTTTAATATGTCACATGTCATTGTCCAGTAGACCAATTCTTGTGTTTCAAAGACGGTTTTGTGGTTATAATTAGTACGATCTGGTGAGTATCTGGAAAATGTTTTACCGGATATCGGATAGTGGTATCCGGCACATCCCTAGTCATGAAGAACCATTGCTTTTCCTAGAATGAGAGCTTAACCGCTAGTGGCATTTAAAGAATCTTTGATGAATAAACAAATACACTTCACAATTATAGCCGTTCAAACAATATACAATTTAGTTCAGAAAGATTAGATGGTCAAATCATGCGACTAAATAGTAAAAACACCAGAGTGCATGCCCTGCATTTCCGTATATTTTTTCGGTTGCTTTTTCAATTGAAATTTATTGATTACGTTGGACATCAGTTTTTAACGTTTGCTAATTAGCGCAAAATATCAGGATAGATGAAGGCTTAGCGCGAATGAACTCTGGAGAAACGAAAGCAGAGTCAAAAATAGTGTACTGCCTTGCAGGACTCCCGTTAAGCAGCAATGCGCCCTACATTATTCTTTTACTCTGTCTAACGCCAGACAATTTTACTCGTCAAGGAGAGAGTTTTGCACTACAATGGGTTAAGCTAGGCTAAATGTACCTTACTAAATCCCCAAATTATATGTAAACAATCAGGATTAATGGGTCTAAAAAATAGAGAAAAAAAGTAATTAGTGAAATAACTAGTGTTCTATCAGTCAATTTTAGAATCGCCATTGGCATTGAACTATTGTTGTTATATAGCTAGTGTGAACACCAAACATGATTGACTGATTTGTAGTCACGTGGCTTTAGATATGTGCAATGTATCCCGCCCGGGCAATAAGTGAAAAATTGTTACATAAATAAACAAAATGGCGGCACAAATTTATACTATTTAAACTACAGTTTTCGTGGCTTTGTGTTAAAATAAAGAATGTAAAAGAGAAGAAAAATACATAACAGGCAACAGGATATGCTGCTGAAACCAATTCAGTAGGTTTTTTAAATTTTAAACTCGTTTACGCAATAGAGTTTTTGTCATGAAATACAAATATTGTTGTATGAATGTTGTTCAATGTTGATATTTGTTTCGTCGCTATATAACAAAACACTTAACGTCTTTTCCCTCGGGAAATAGTTAGTTTTGTTTTCCCTCGAATCTTAATGTTTCCCTCGACTTCGTCTCGGGAAACATTGAGATTCTCGGGAAAAACAAAACTAACTATTTCCCTCGGGTGCAGACATTAAGTGTATATATTTAATATGCACTCTGCAGGTGGATAGTGCTTTTCGCACAATTTTAACGGTTGCTCAGCTCCAGATATCCATCCACTATTCATCTCCGGAACAAAACTTCTTCCCGTTTTGTTTCGGCCAGAGACGAGTGTCATGTAAATTCTATTACATGTATTGTATGAGGCTGTTGTGTTTTGTTGGACACACTTCATGTACAGTATAAGAACAATATAAAATGACGTAATATTGGAGTATAGAGCATGAGGGAAGTAACGTGTGGAAAGTAGAGTGTTAGCTTGGAAGGTTATATAGGAGATTTTATATTACATGTAAATTTTTGGATCGATTGTAACAGATTATAAGCAAATGAATAAATATAAAATACAATTCTTGTGTGTGTTATCGAACTTTAGAAATATTTTTAGCTACTAAACGAAGCTGCGGTTTCGCCAAGCACAAAGAAAGCCACAAAGTTTCATTTAACAGTGTGTAGAGGTGTTCTTTAAAACTTCTTTCTAATGAATAAAAAACTTATTTCTAATGAATAAAATTACTAAAAACTTGCAAATACTATTTTGTTTACAGCAATTACGAGCTCACTCTTTGGTGAGCGGATTTTCGAACAGGCTATTGAACACGCGAAAGTCTAATAATTTACTCATGTCATTGTAAAAGTGGCACTTTCTCCTCAATTATTTTAAAACCTTGAGTAGAGGTCCGACAAAGGATTGAACCCGGGTCTCCCAGCTTGAAAGGGAAGCGTGGTGACCACGACACCACAAGTGCTGGCATGCAATCTGCTACCAGTTAAGAATTGTGGCGAAGCAACGAAACCTTGGCAAAACTACAAAGTGGTAACTAAAGTGCTTATCACACACACACACACACACACACACACACAAACACACACACACTCTTATAAATATTATTTTCCAATCTTGTTAAACTTTCACTTGATTGAACATCTTTAATCAAACTAAGCTACTAACTTGACATTAGCGAGTTTAAGCAAGCGACGTTTTTGTCAACCTGGACGTCAGATTGTCGAGGGGGGACTGCGATGGGTCAGTTTGTGGTAATCGTCAACACCTAAGACAGAATTGAATACTAGAAAATACACGCATGCAGAAGTACCCTCGCCTTGCTGACAAAACCATTGTATTTTCCGAACATGAAATATCTAAAATAGTTGCCATGGTAACACGATAATTTTTTAAGAATATTCTTACAAATGAAAAATCGCTTAAAAATATCACTTCTAATTACAAAATTATCAATTTTCCAACATATATATGTTAGGTATGATATTATACGTAATATAAGCTTCAATTTAAGGTAAAATTCAACCACAAACGCTTCGCAAAACGTTTTAAAGTGTTCTTTATACAACTAAACTGCCTTTTGTATTCTTTAATTAAATGGATTTATCGATAAACTTTGAGTTTGGAATAAAATAATTTCAAATACTAGCATGCAAATAACTTTGCTTTCTTTTTTATTTAAAAAAATTCAAGAAGTAATAAAAAAATCAATATTAAAGATACACTGAAATGGGGCCCGATATGCTGTATTGTTTAGTTGTTTCAGATACGCAAAGGCCGTCGGGTTTTAAAGCAATTATAAAATCAATATTTAAAACAAACTTACCTTCGTTAACGTCGGCTCCCTTCTTTTAGCCGATTCTTTCGCCATTTCTTTCTTGAAATTTTCAAAATCTTGCAAAAATGCGAGCAGAAATGAAATATATTTGCAAGAAATTTATCAATCATCAAATAATGAAATATAAAAAGAAATGTTTGCTTACTTTGCTATTTCGCTGTCGTCATGCAGTCGTTATAATGCAAACTTTAAATTGGACCAATCACAGTGTTTGCTATTCATGACAGTCCGCCATATTTTTGAGATCAGTGAGGATGACCACCCACGGTTGGTGACCCACGCCCTCGATATTTGATAACTTTAGACTTCGCTAATGCTTTCGTTTCCCCGGGTGTAAATAGCCGGGGGGAATTAGTACCCTCGCAGGGCGCTTCGCGCCGTCGGCTCGGGGATAAGATTCTTAACGCTTTTTGCTTCCTTACAAGAATGCTATGAAGCAAAATGCCGCCAAAATTAGTTATATTTCGTTATTCGAATTAGTTTTATTTAGGGTAACTAGTTATATTTCGGGTAACGTCCGTGTTAAAAAAATGTCGCTTGCTTAAGCTCACTAATATTGCAAAAAATGTTATCTTGACCAACTTTCACCGGAGACGTGACCGGATATGATGTCATTAGATGCATTGCGAATTATTTCTCCTTTGTTTTTGCTCTAAAAGTTCGTCTATAGTAATAACATCATATCCAGAAACTTTTGACAATAAAACATTTCATTAAGATGAGTTTTTTTTACTATAAAAATACTTTAAATCTCTTCTTAAAATTACCCAAGAATCGTATATGGGCTTAGTGGCACGTCTAAGTTCCAATAATATTCCCTAATGTTTCCTGCAGATTAACCTCTGTGTCCGGAATGTCTATTAAAATTGTTAAAGGATAGTCCAAAAAAATAGAGAAAACTCACCCTTTTACAGCTAATGCTGATTTCGCTGAAACGTCTCCTTTGAAGATCGACAACATGTATATTTTATCTGATATAATATGCAAAGAATGTCTAAAAATGCACATCAAGATGTCATGAATGGTATTACAGTATATGTGTATTACTACTATTACATAAATATTTTTATATTTATTAATCTGCACTTGAAAACAAAATACAGCAAGTATCCAATACAAGGATAAAGGCGAAAGGTTTTCATTCAGGATGAATTTACTGGTGGAAGAGAGGAGTGCAACTTTCCAATTAAATTAATTTCTTTTTGGAAAGGCAATATCCCATTTGCAGTTTATGGTAACTACACTTTTATAAAGCTGACTTAACTGCGTGGTTAAGAGTAACCATTATTAAACAACAAAACGGATAGTTAAAAGTATTCAAGTTTTTTATACAATCGGACCCTGCACATGCAACATATATCTTGGAGCTTCAGGACAATTGTGAATTTGAGATAAAATTTATGTTTTGTTCAACACAGTTTAAAGCTAGTTCTAATAAATAAAATTACTATAAAAACTATTTTAATTAAGGGTCGAGCTGTAATGTAAATTGGTTTTATTAAAAGTAAAAATATTTGGTTACTTCTCGGTCATTTTTTTCGGTGAATAGCACAAGGATATTCACATCGATGCTTCACGTGTCTGTCAATATTCTTGCACTATTCACCTCCACTTTGGTACATCAGGGATCTTCAAATCCGATTATCGATTTCAGTTTCATTTTAAAAAATCTTAACATAGATTCGAATCTGATGAATCCACCTCAACATATGGATTTTTCGGATTCAATCTGAAACTTGATCAGGATTCAACGTTCCTTTTGAGCTTCTGGCTTTCAAGCATGTACCCTGACCCGACCGAAAGGTGTAGTGGGACAGGAATATTGTAAGATTGGAGGGAAAACAGCAGGCGAATTCCGATTCTCACAATTTGTTCTGTTTCTTTAACGAGTCCAAAAAATCCGAATCCTAAAAATCCAAATCTAGCTTTACAAAAGAAATGCTCCTTAATTAAGATTACTTCACATGATAAAAGTCCTTTCAGGAAAATGCTCGTCGCGCACTAAATTTTTAACACTAAATTTTTAAGTTGCCTCCTCAAAATTGGCATCCACAACGATAAATCATTGTTGCTGCTACTACTTTAACAAAAATTATACATTTTTAAAAACTATGGTTGCTACGAGCTGCTTTTGAAAATATGGTGCACTTCGCGCGACGAGCTTTAGGACCATCCGATTAAAGGCACAGTTCAGCCTGTTGAACGATGGTTTTTAAGGCGCATTTCAGCCCTTTTAATTGAAAAAACTAACTAGGAAAATCAATTAAGCATAATTCAAGATCAGCAAACTTAATGTTTTTAACATTTTAAAACATTTATATTGTCAAAAACATCGAGTTTACTGATTTTGAATTATGCTTAATTGATTTTCCTAGTTAGTTTTTTCAATTAAAAGGGCTCAAATGCGCCTTAAAAACCATCGTTCAAAAGGATGAACTGTGCCTTTAAACTCAGAAGCTTTCAAAATATCACATTTCCCATGTTAAATGATCAAAGAACAAAAAAGTGTTCGCGTTTTTTGACAGGTATTATATTTGCCGAGATATAAAGCAGATAAGTTTGCTCATTAAAAATTAGCAATAACGATAGAACGGAAGCCTATAATTTGAAAACCAAAGCATTAAAAGAAAAAGGCGAACATGGTTTTGTTTCTCTGATATTGTTCTACATTGTGGCGAAATTAGGTAGCAATTAAATAAAACCTGCCTGTGTCATAACTCGTTTTGTGAGGACAACCGGGCTGATTATTTCTTCTCGGTAAAATACAGAAAGTGATTTCGCAGAGATTTTCCGTTCTCTATTATGTTTCTACACCCGCAGTGATCACTTCAAACCGTAAGCCAATCAGGTTCGACTTTTTAAAGTGTGTTTTGGCAGGGTTTGATTTTGACTTGGCATCAATGATAAGGTGATAAGCAAGATATAGTTATATAGTTATATAGTTATACATAAGTCACTTTTAAAACTGGCGTTCTGCTTAGACAGCAAATTTCACTGTGTTATGAACGTGTACAGACAATAATAGCGTAAATTGTGACCATCCTGTTATACGATGATATAGCTATACCTAAATCAAACAATCCGCCCAATGTTGAATACCGCCACAGGTGTGTAACATGCACCTTTTGTCACACTTATCCACAAACTGTCAATCACAATTAAAACTTTCCGATTAAACCAGAACATTTTCGGTCATATCTCGGTTGCATTTTAATATTTTCAAAAAATACTTGCGGAAATGGAAAGATCTCTTGCCCCTCGATATAAATCGATAAAAAAGGAAAAAAGGACATTTCATCAGATGGCGTAACCTTAAATGTTAAATATCTTTGTTAACTTAATTAAAAGTCTCTGCAATAAAGCTTCTGTACTTACCGCTCAGCAAATTCCATACATTCCAAAATCTGTTTCTCTGAATAAACTGTTCCCAGAGGATTATTTGGATTGCACAACAAGAGACCACGGACTGCGAGATTCTGAAAGAAAAAGATCCTGGGAATAGAGGACTTTCAAGCTTCAAGAAAAGACACAGTTATTATGTATGGGGCACCAAACCTGACGAAATAAAAATGGTTCGTGATATAAAGTATATTTCCAATTTACAACTCTGATGTAATATATGATACACGAGATTGCTCGTTATATCAAGTGTAATTTTTGTGCACATCATGCAAAGTATAATATACCTGTCCCCAATATAGGTTATAGAAGTAGACTGGGGCGAGTTTTTAATTGTTCATATGCTTCCCATTTTAAAATTTATTTCTGGCTTTGAACTCTAATCAGGAAAATTAATCAGGAATAATTAACGAAATGTTCATTTCTGCCATTTTCTGATTTTAACGCGGGAAACGTCGCGCGGGAAATCTAGCCCAAAAATATGGCGAACGAAACTGAAAACTACATAAATACATTTCTTGAGAATATTCCAAGTCTTATATCCGAGGCTCATAGGCAAATGTTTTGTGATAATATCAATATCCCACTTGCCGTATATTTGGGAAAAAAAAGATAAGCTTTTCTCAGGAACAACGTACCTTCGTCTTCCTTTACGATTTTCTTGTCCGTCTTCAATAGGGCAAGTAAAGTGCGACAAATCATAATTTTTGATCGGCTGTTGTTCGTAATCATTGAGCAATTCCTGCAATTTTGAGACCTATATACCAAATGTTTTTTTGTAGTTGCCTGTCATATAATCCACTTTGACATCCTCGATTACATTGATTTTATCACCAAACATTTACCTGTGAGCCTCAGATACAAGATTTGGAATATTCTCAAGAAATTTATTTATGTTGTTTTCAGGTTCGTTCGCCATATTTTTGAGCTAGATTTCCCGCGCGACGTTTCCCGCGTTAAAGCAGAAAATGGCAGAAATCATCATTTCCTTAATTATTCCTCATTACTTTTCCTGACTAAATTTCAAAACCGGAAATGAATTTTAAAATGGGAAGCACGTGAATAATTAAGAACTCGCCCCAGTCTATTTCTATGACCTATATGGCGGAAAGTTATATTATACTTTGTATATTGTGTCACTAAGGTTGTATCTTATTATATATCGATGTCTACAAAAGTTATTCTTTATATAACGAGCTACCTCGTGTATCATATCTTACATTGAAGGGGTTAAATTTAAAATATGCTTTATAGCACAAACCACTTTCATTTTGTCAGGTTTGGCGCCCTAAAATTATGTTGGTCTTCTTACAAAGTAAAAGAATAAATAAATTTACACTTGGTATTCTTTTTGTTTTGATTATACATAAGTTTGTTTTCATCTTCAGTTAATCCATAACACTAAGGGGAAAAATGCCGCTGTGCATGAAAAGTAGAATTGCCAACGAGTTCGATCATAACGGAGGCAATTTTCGACTGCCGGAAATTTAGCCTAATTCCTATAGCTGAATTAGCTGAGTGTTTTACACGCTTGCCGAGGCTGTCGTCGTCACGGTGCCATCCACTGGAAAAAATTGAAAATCGATAGGAGGTTATAGAATGGAAATTGTTGGATTACATAGGAAATAGAATGGATTTTGGTTATCCATAGTAATTGTATATTTCCATAATATGAACATAGTATTGAAATAGTATGGATTTAGCCGCAATTGCAAATTTCATTGTATGGATTTCACATTTTTTCCCAGTGATCCTCTATCTTAATTAAAGCTAGTTTCTAATAAGATTGGACACAATTAAATTGCTTATGACAGAAGTTTTTACTCAGTCCTTTCTTGATTAGATTGCAAGGATCACTTCACGTTAAGAAATAGAAAACGAGTCGCGTGCGTTTATGGTGTGATAATGCACGCGAGGAATGTTGGGAGAATACGAGAGGAACGTGTAATACACGAAGCGTAGCCGAGTGTTATACACGCTTCTCGAGTAATCTCTTAACATTCCCCAAGTGTATTATCACACCATAAACGCACAAGACGAGTTTTTCTATCTCGTTTATAATATAAGAAGAATATATTACACGGTAAACAATTTTTTTCAAAGATTAATATTAATATTCTCCTTACATGTAATCACGCGCGTTTTCAATTGCTTAGCAACAAGAATCTTGGATTCGCGAAACGGCGAAAGGCGCGACAAGCAAGCAAGTCAGCTATATTTTTTGGGTGTTTATTGTTTAAAAACTGTTTGAATACTTTTAGGAACAGTCCACAAATATAAAACAATACCAAAATATAATAGACATTGTCAAGTTCAAAAGCTAATCGCTGTTTGATTTATACACGATCTGGACACTGGCGATCGAGCAAGAACTAAACATGCTGCCAGCCACAGCGAAGTTCTGCAAGTGTGTGCTTGTCGTTGAACTAGTCGACGTTGATGCACCAAAAATCTGCTGTTGGGTTGGAGAGTGAGCTTGAGATGAACTAGAAGGAGCAGTGGAAGTATGATCATCAGTAATTAGCGAACGAGACAAGACATCGCTGCAGTTGTGGAGCTGTAAAGACGATAGTCGTGCGTTGTAATGAACAAGACTTTGCTCATTTCGATGGCCAGAAATTGCCATAATATGACGATTAGGAATGCCTGCATTTGATCAAACGGCGATGGCTGTTGCTCGAACGCTATGATTTGTGAACAGTAATTCTCAGACAGAGCGGCAGCTTGGCTAATATCGGTCATAATTTTGACCAATTTGTTGACCCCGAGTGGTCGATTTTCGAACCAAACCGGGTTTGTTGATTGCCAATTTCGTGCGCATGCAGGATACTATTATTATTAATGATCTTTAAACACGGTAACCTTTCATATAGGTGATTTTCAAAGGGTCGTGCGAAAAATATACATACATTATAAAAGAAGGAACTAATAAACTAAATTATACTTATTTACAAAATATACTTATTTACTTATTTACAAGATGTGAATATTTAATAGATAATGGGCAGATTTTAAACTTGTTGACTCTCTTAGTGTTTTCAACAAGTTTATCGGGATGTTGTTCCAATACGCTGCTCCTCTGTGCGAAAAGCTATTTTTCAAAAAATTCGTTTTTGGTTTAGGTTGAGACAGCTATATATTACTACTGCGCAGTACGTAACCACTGTTTTCACAACTGTGAAATAGTTGTGTTACGTATTCTGGAAGCATGCTATTAATCGCTTTAAATATCATAAGAGGTTTCCAGCTAAGTTTTTGAAAAGTGTCCGAAGATCTTATAGTATATAGTCCGAATTTTTTAGTATCCTTGCTGCTCGTTTCTGAAGCTTATACAATTTGTTTAAGTGTGTTTGGTTGTTATTTTGCCAAACAGTTGAACAGTAGTTAAAACGAGGCATGACTAATGCGTTATCCATAATTTTCAGCGTATCTAGGCAAACAAATTATTTAGTGGCTTTTCTTATAAGATTAATATTTTTTCGATATCTTGTTGCATTGTTCTTCATTTTGCCTGTTCCAGCTAAGTCTATCGTCTATAACTACATCCAAAACTTCTTTTTTATAAACTCGTTCTAAGTTTTTCAATCGTTGCCGAGATCCAATAATGATATATTTAGTTTTTTCGTTGTTTAATGTTAGTTTATTCGCTGATAACCATTTTAATTTGAGCATTTACTACAATCAGGGGCAAAAATTATTGAGACAACCGCATAAATGCCCCCCTCATCCCCAATTCAATGTTGTGTGAATGACTGAAAAGAGAACATTCAACCCACTTTTTCCAATATTGATCATGGGGGCAGGGGGGAGGCCGACGTGCTTTAAAATGGGAAAAAAATGGGAAAAGTCTCATTATTTTTGCAAGCGATTGTCTGAGATGAGGGAGCAAATAAACAAACTTTCCAATCATTTTTTTACCATTATTTACTTACTAGAGAAACATTTTTGGGAAAATAGACAAACTATAGGCTAAATACGATGTATTAAAATACTTCAGTTGCGATATAGTAAGACACATCCAATAAGCCATAAGAATCTAATGTAGTGTTTTAACTACTCTTACGTCCTTTCAAGCTCAATTAACCATCATTTCCTCAGGAGGGAGTCATTATATGACAGTTCCTCAGCTTAGCCATATAACGAAAAATGAGAAAACTTTGTTATTTATACTGCAGTATGTGCTGTTGTGCTTGTGGGATGTTCACCGACTAATTTAAAGTGATTAGTTCATGTAAATTTTATGCACTTATCTTCATTAAGCAAACGCTGTCACGTTATACACACGTTACAGTATAAACAGATGCGCCGGAATATCGATAATTGCGGGGGCAGATATTCATATATTTGTGTTTACAGACTGTAAAACAATCGATTTCGAAAGAAATTAATTGGACAAAACACGAATATATGAATATCTGCCCCCCCCCCCCCC